GCGTGATGACAGGTGCCTATAATCCCAGCTACTCAGGAAGCTGAGGCAGAAGAATCGCTTGAACCCAGGAGGTGGAGGTTGCAGTGAGCCAAGATCGTGCTACCTCACTTCAGCTTGGCCGAAAGGGCAAACCTCCATCTCAAAAAATAAAATAAAATAAAATATAAAAAAAAGTAGTGGTGCAGTCACATCTCTCTCCAGGAGTAAATGTCTTGCTTACCACAGAAAAACTAAATACAGTCCATACTTCCCATATGCCCGTACTTCTCATATGCACTTTCTAGAAACTCAATTGAGCTTTTCCCAAATGTATGGCATGCCCAAGGAATGGAATGGGAGAGAAAACATATGATGAGCATTTTGCACCAGCCGGCAGCTGGGCTAGGTGGTTACTGTTGTGGCAAAGCAGACCAGGCTGAGGACGAAGGTGCAGGAGATGAGCAGCATGGACAGGAGGCTGTCACTTTCACCTGCCACCCACTCTGCCACCTGCCCCAGCACCGACCTGCTCATCTGCATTCCAATTATAATCTTTTAGTTATTTTTAAATGTGCAACAAATTACTGTTGACTGTAGTCACCCTGTTGTGCTAGCAAATCCTGGATGCTATTCATTCTTCATTCGTCATTCATTTCATACCCATTAACCATCCATACTTCCCCTCACCTCCTTACTACCATCCCCAGGCTCTGGTAACCATCATTCTACTCTCTATCTCCATCAGTTCAATTGTTTTAATTTTTACCTCCCACAAATGCGTGAGAACTTGTGCAGTTTGACTTTCTGTGCCTGGCTTATTTCACTTAATATAAGGTCCTCCACTTCCATCCATGTTGTTGTAAATGACAGAAACTCACTCTTTTTTATGGCTGTGTAGTGTTCCACTGTGTATATGTATCACATTTTTTTAATCCATTCATCTGTTGATGGACACTTAGGTTGCTTCCAAGTCTTGGCTATTGTCAACAGCACTGCAATAAAACATGAGAGAGCAGATAGCTCTATGCTAACTTCCCTTCTTTTGGGTAGATACTAGCAGTGGGATTGCTGCATCATACGGTAGTTCTATTTTTTGTATCATGAGGAACTTCCATACTGTTCTCCATAGTGGCTGTAATAATTTATATTCTCATCAACAATATATGAGGGTCCCCCTTTCTCCATATCCTTAACAGCATTTGTTATTGCCTGACTTTTGGATAAAAGCCATTTTAGGCCAGGCGCAGTGACTCACGCCTGTAATCGCAACACTTTGGGACGCCAAGGCAGGTGGATCACCTGAGGTCAGGAGTTCGAGACCAGCCTGGCCAACATGGTGAAACACTGTCTCTACTAAAAATACAAAAATTAGCTAGGCATGGTAGTGGGCACCTGTAATCCCAGCTACTCAGGAGGTTGAGGCAGGAGAATTGTTGGAACCTGGGATGTGGAGGTTGCAGTGAGCCAAGATTGTGCCACACTCCAACCTGGGTGACAGAGCGAGACTGCATCTCAAAAAAAAAAAAAAAATTAGCCAGATGTGGTGGCAGGCACCTGTGATCCCAGCTTTTAAGGGAGGCTGAGGCAGGAGAATCCCTTGAACCCACTGAGCCAAAATCTCGCCACTGCATTCCAGCCTGGGTGACAGAGTGAGACTCTGTACCACAAAGCCATTTTAATTGGGGTGAGATGATATCTTATTGTAGTTTTGATTTGCATTTCTCTGATGACCAATAATGTTGAGCACCTTTTCACATGTCTGTTTTCCCTTTGTACGTCTTCTGAGAAATGTCTATTCAGATATTTTCTCCATTTTTTAAATTAGATTATTGGATTTTTCCTATTGAGTTGTTTGAGTTCCACATATATTGTTTATTAATCCTTTGTCTGACAGGTAGTTTGCAAATATTTTCTCCCAGTATGTGGGTTGTCTTTTCACTTTGCTGATTGCTTTGTTTGCTGTGCAGAAGCATTTTAACAGGATGTGATCCCATTTGTCCATTTTTGTTTTAGCTGCCTGTACTTTTAGGGTATCACTCAAGACATTTTTGCCCAGTCCAATGTCCTGGAGAATTTCCTTAATGTTTTCTTTTACTAGTTTCATAGTTGAGTCTTAAAGATTTGTCTTTAATCCATTTTGATTAGATTTTTCTATATGGCAAGAGAGAGGGGTCTAGTTTCATTCTTCTGCATATGAATATCCAATTTTCCCAGCACCATTTATTGAAGAGATTGTTCTTTCCCCAATGTATATTCTTGGCACCTTTGTTGAAAGTGAGTTCACTGTAGATGGATGGGTTTATTTCCGGGCTTCCTATTCTAGTCCATTGGTCTATATGTCTGATTTATGCCAGGACCATGCTGTTTGGTTACTACAGCTCCACAGTATAGATTTGAAGTCAGTTAATGTCATTCCCCCAGTTTTGTTCTTTTTGCTCAGGATGGCTTTGGCTATTCTACGTATTCTGTGGTTCAATATACATTTTAAGATTATTTTTTCTTCTTTCCTTTTTTTTGGGGGGTGGGGGTGGATGGATTCTCACTCTCTCACCCAGGCTGGAGTTCAATGGAACGATCTTGGCTCATTGTCTCCACCTCCCCGATTCAAGCCATTCTTCTGCCTCAGCCTCCCAAGTAGCTAGCTACAGACAGGCGCCACCACGCCTGGCTAATTTTTGTATTTTTAGTAGAGACGGGCTTTCACCATGTTGACCAGGTTGGTCCCGAACTCCTGATCTCGAGTGATCTGCCCGCCTCGGCCTCCCAAAGTGTAAGTTTATTTCTTCTAATTCTGTGAAGCATGTCATTGGTATTTTGATATGGATTGCACTGAATCTGTAGATTGCTTTGGATAGTATAGCCATTTTAATGATATTGATCCTTCTAATCCATGAACATGGAATCGTTTTCCTTTTTTCTTTTTTCTTTTTGGTGTCCTTTTCTTGCATCAATGTTTTACTGTTTTCATTATAATGAAAGCTTTCACAATGACAGCTTTCACTTCTTTGGTTGAGTTTATTCTTAGGTATTTTATTTGTAGCTCTTATAAATGGGATTACTTTCTTGATTTCTTTTCAGATTATGTATTGCTGGCATATAGAAATGCTACTGATTTTTATGTGTTGATTTTGTAGCCTGCAACTTTACTTAATTTATCAGTTCTAATAGTTTTTCAGTGGAGTCTTTGGTTCTCTTTTATTTCTTTCTCTTGCCTGATTGCTATAGCTAGGACTTCCGGTACTATGTTGAATAACAGTGGTGAAAATGGACATCTTTGTCACATAACTTTTATTACAGGATACTGTTATAATTGTTCTATTTTATTTTTAGTTATTGTTGTTAATTTCTTATTATGTCTAATTTATAGATTAAGCTCTACCATGGACATGTATGCATAAGAACATAAGAAAAAGCATACACAGTATGTATAGGGTTTGGTACCATCTGCAGTTTCAGGCATTCACTGGGGGTCTTAGAACATATCCCTTGCATGTAAGAGGGAACTACTGTATATTAAACTAAACTGAGTACATGTGTGCCACTGTTTCAAGGTTTCAGACCTTTAAGATTCCACTCAATGGTTGCTATAGGTTGAATGTTATGGTTTCTACGTGTTGAATGTTTGTCTCTCCCCAAGCTGATGGTGAGAATTTGGTAGCTGGTGTGGTGGTGTTAAGAGGTGAAACTTTGGGAGGTGATAGGGTAGTATTACTGTCATTATAAAAGGGCAAGTTTGCCCCCTTTAGCTTCCTGGCATTCCTCCTTCTGGCTTATAAGCATCCAGCCTTCCTCCCCTGCAGATGACATGGTACACAAAGCGTCATCATAGAAGAGCATAGTCTCACCAGACATCAAACCTGCTGGGGCCCCTTGACATTAGATTTCCCAGCCTCCGGAACTGTGTGCCAATAAATTCCTGTTCTTGATAAATTATGCAATCTGTGGTATTCTGTTACAGCAGCACAAAATGGAACAAGACAATGGTAAAGTCTTAACTCATTCAATGTTTCCTTGGTGGTTTGAAGGTTTTTGTCAATTTCCAAACCTGTTTATTTGGGACTTATCTGCACAGTACTGAACCAGCTGTTCAAAGTGAAAATTCAAGAATCAATGGGTTTGTTTTTCAACAACAAAGCAGGGAATCTCTTAATAAATTGCTGCCTTACTAGTATAACTGCTGCTCTAGTATCCTAAAGGTTAATTAGGCTTCTTGTAGTGCCTAACTTAACTCAGAGGGGAATAAAAATAAAAACAAAAAACAAACACAACAAATTATAATTAATATTTACTTAGATATGAAAGTAAGTATAACCTTTAGATTATTCAAAATTCAGTTTGTGAAGGCATCTTATAGAACTGATATTTATAGGCCAGGTGTGCTTGCTTACACCTGTAATTCTAACTTGTTGGGAGGCTGAAGGGAGAGGATCACTTGAGCCCACAGGTTTGAGACCAGCCTGGGCAACATGAGGAGACCCTGTCTCTGTAAAAAATTTAAAAATTAGCTAGGTGTGGTGTCACACACTTGTGGTCCCAGCTACTCAGGAGGCTGACATGGGAGGATTGCTTGGGCCCAGGAGGTTGAGGCTGCAGTGAGTTGTGATCGTACCACTGCACTACAGTCTGGGAAATACAGTGAGATCCTATCTCAAAAAACAACAACAACAACAACAACAACAACAAAACCAAACCTGATGTTTGCAATGTTTTTAGCATATTTGATTTTTATTTAATAATTAATCTTTTACCACTGATTATGTTCTTTTCAAAAGGCTTGTGAATTTTTCCCGTTAATGTGGTCCACAGATCAAATATATCTGCCATTCATTCATTCGTTCGTGTTTTCATTGACTATAGAAGTTTCACCTCGCAAAGTAGAATGCTTGTATCAAGTAAACAGAATAAATATTTTATCTGACAACATGGGTACCTGATTCCTATACCCCTTGATGGCCCCAAACATTTTTACACTTCAGGAAGCCAAGTCCTCACAAATATAAACCAGGTATCTGCATGCTTACCCTGGCAAGTGCTTCCTCAATCGTGATCATCTTTTCCTTGACCATCATCATTAGCTGAATCCGCTCCTCATCGCTCATTGTTATTTCACTGGCAACGTAACCAACGTCTTCTCCTGGAGATTGAGGACAAAGAATAACAGGAGTGAAAACAAGAACAGCGAAACAGAATGTCAATGCTGAATATCTGCTGTCTCAGGCGAGGGAAGAATGTTGCTCAGGACACTATGTATGTTGAACGTGACTGATGAAGCAAAGGGTGGGAAAAATATGCTGCTTTTAAAGAAGCGAATAAGCACCTCTGATTGAGAAACAGGCTTGCAGAACATGTGGATCTCACCATGTCACCCTAGAAACAAATCCTTCAAGATGATCAGAGCCTTTGAGATGGTGTGCCCAGTGGACGGGTTTTGGAGGAAAGTAAGAGAGAGCTCCTCACTATAGGTGGAGTAAAGATCTAATTTATACACCCAACTGGATCATACAAGCATTCCAAGGCTCCTTCAGCTGTGGGTTCTCTGTGTCCTTTCATTTGAATATAAATGAGAAGAAAATATTTTTGCAAAGAAGTAAGAAAGAACCCTAGGTCATGGCAGAGGAAGGAAGGTCACAGAGTCCAGACCCACAGCCTGGCAAAACCTTCCAATCCTACTAAGCTATTTCACTGTTATTATTCCTTGAAACTAAGTGCACCCGGGCGAAGAGGTTCATTCTTGTAATCCCAGCACTTTGGGAGGCCAAGGCAGGTGGACCACTTGAGGTCAGGAGTTCGAGACCAGCCTGGCCAACAAGGTGAAACCCCGTCTCCACTAAAAATACAGAAATTAGCCAGGTGTGGTGGCAGGCACCTGTAATACCAGCTACTCAGGAGATTGAAGCAGGAGAATTGCTTTGAACCCAGGAGGCGAAGGTTGCAGTGAGCTGAGATCACACCACTGCACTCCAGCCTAGGTGACAGAGCAAGACTCCATCTGAAGACAAAAAAAAAAAAAAAAAAAAGCCAAGTGCAAATCACAGACATGAAGCATGTTCAGTTAATCAGAAGAAGGGTGCCATATAGGTCTGTATCTGAAAGTATTATTGTCATAAATTGGTTTCCAAACTGCGGGAAAATCAACTTCCAACTCACACCTGAAGGCAGCTAGAACTGCAGAGATGAGAATGTTCTGTTAGATTCCAAAGATTTTCCTACAGAGCAAACAGTCTGCTATTGCCTCTAGTATATCTGAGCCACACTGGGCAATGGTGCCTCTGGTCAGCGTGTGGGGAAGGACATGTTAGTGAACATGAGCTGTAACATCCCCACTCCAGTCCCGCACCCTGCTCTCCTCCCCATCTTTCTCATTTGTACTTTTTACCAGCTTCCAATACCGTTAGGATGCCCGGCTGTGGCTTAATTTGCCTTTGGTGTAAAGGACAGAGGGAAAGAGTCTGCCTGTAGACTTGCAGGAAACCATTTCAGGCACAGCTGACTTTGGAATTTATGTTGCCCTGTATTTCCATCTCATTTCCATTTAGTAATCAATCAATCCAAAAATACTCCTCAAGTTCCCTTTGCTACTTTCACAGGGAGAATAACAGTGTGTGCTGGGTGAAGACAGAAGCCTGCTGGTTTGATTCATTTTACTGTCTGTGTCACCTCAAATGGCAGAGAGGGTGATGGGAAATTGGTTGGGTTCTTTAAAAATTCACAATAGCTGGTAAACTGTTGGCTTCCTCCTTCCCTCCCTCTTGTACCTCTCCCTTTCTCCTTAGCTTTCTTTCTAAATTAGACTTTTTTTTTTTTAGAATCCAAGGTTTATTTTGAATCACAAGTGATGCTGGGTGAATACAAAAAACTGGGAATGCTTAAAAGTAGGACAACTTGAGAAAAAAAACCATGTGGAATGTTGCCAAGGAACCCAGGTGTGCTGTGACGTGTCTACTGTTCACATCCATTTTTCTCATTTCCACGCGTACAGATAATTAGACGTTCCACACAGCGCAGGACACTAAGGTTTGTAAAGCAAAACAAGTAGTGTCACTGGTGATCAAGGAAAACTTTATATCTACTGATAACCTCATTCAGCTGGACTGGAATCTGGAAGTGGATTTGCTCCGGTTTCTTCTCTGAATACTGGGAAACATAAATTATGTAACTGAGCCTCAAAGGGATGACATATTTACTTACTATATAAACAACAACAAAAGACACAGCCAAGAGTAGGGCAGAACTCCCTTCACAAAGCCGCCCAGGCAAATTCCCATGATGTCAGACCACTGGAGTTTCCAGGGGCAACACCCCATAACCGTCCCGCTGCAGGAGAGCATCAGAAGTTCAGAAGCATGCAGAGGCCCTCAGTGGGAGCGCGGACAGGAGAGCCCCAAACCAACACATGCGAGGGCTCTCTAGGCCCTTTCAGGCTAGATCTTGACGAGAGAAAAGATCTTTCTGAGGTTGGTGCGACTGAGAAAACTAAAGATTCGGCCTCTGCTCTCAGATCTACGAAAGGGAAGAACTGTGAACTTGTCCCCTTTTGGGTTTTTTTTTTTTTTTTTTGACTTAAAGAAAAGAAAATCACTGGGACAAAGTCTTAAAGTAACAACAGGAATGTCAGAAAAGTTGAACATCTTATGGGCACATGTGGTGAGTTACGCTAACTTACAGCATCCACTGAGATTAACAGCACAGGCTTCTCCACATGTTAGAGCTGAAAGGACCTACTGTCCGCCAGCTGCATTGCAGTACCTTTTGAAGTCTGTCTCATTATTCCTTTCTGGTTCTTTCGGAAGTTCTGCCAGAAATACTTATTTTTCTTCTTCCAGTCTCCTTTTCCTTTAAAAAAAAAAAAAGGAAGAAAAAGCACAAGCAATAAATTCATTAATAACAAAAGTAGCCTCTTCCTTGTAATTCAAAGCTGGTAAGAATACTTTGATTTCACAAAAGGACAGTTTTTTCTTTCAGTTTGTGAAAGAATGGGAGATGGCTATAAAGTTGTTTAAAAGAAATGCAAATTTCCTAGTAGCAAGATATGGTGCAGTGAGGTTAAGATGAAAAACAGAAACATCAAAAAGGCAGGCAAAACATGCATTCTTGTGTTTACTTTGATGTTTGTTTAACTAGTATGCCTAATTTGGCCTCGTCTTGCAGTGTATATCCCCTCTTTGGTCTTAGCCACAATTATTTCAACTACACCACAAATAGGGTATTTTAAGAAGCTCACTTTGTTTTGTTGTTATTTCTGTTGTTGATCTACCCTTGGTTTATTTCTGTTACTCCAGATTTAACGACAAGAACAGAATGGTTGGTATGTCCTGGGCCCACAGGTCAGGGGAGGTGGTCCCCTGGGTCTGTGGGTCTGGCCCCCACTGTTATTCTCAGAAGTGTGGTCTGCATGGGTCTCGCTATGGCATGCATATGGCACTCCCTGGCATTCAGGCTACCTGGTGACCCACCTACAGCTTACCCAGGGCACAAAGAAAAGAAAGCCTGCAATCCGGCCGTGACATCTCCCAAATGGGTCTCTCTCTACCTGCCCCGCCCCCCATCCTTTCCAGACTACTGCGGTGACTTTCAAGTGAAAACAAACTCGCTGCTAGAGCTAGACATTTTTAATATGTGGTAGGGTTCTGATCATCAATAACATGTAATACCTTTTTAAAAGCAAAGCGAAAGGGGAGAGTAAGTAAAATGAGTGGGTAGAGCAGTCCTTTATTCTTTACAAATAAAAAGCAGCAGCAGTGGTGTCTGCCATCGTGCTGACGTGGCACATTCAAAGTAGCAGCTCTGTCACCACTTGTTGTCTGTCTGGTTGCTCCATGGCCACTGGAAATAGGACCCAGCGAAGTGATGGGTTTCCCCAGTCTAGACGGGTGGTGCCAAGCAATGAAGCAGACATGTGGGAACCATGTCTATGGTGCTCCCAGGCTAGAAAGGGCGTCGTCTATCAAAACAGGATGCCCGCACATTTAAGTTTTGACAGCCCCCAGAGCTGTGGGAATGAAACCGGAGCCTTTCCACCAGATAGAGCTCCATGGCAAGTTTTGTATCACCCACTGCCTTTGGGCTTAACACTGAAGCAAATGTCAGACATGCAGGGTTAAAGCTGACTAGTTATTATTAACTCAACCTTGCTCTTGGACAGTTCAGGAATATTTCTTTTCTTTCTTTTTTCTTTTTCTTTTCTTTTTTTTTTTGGTTGAGACGAAGTCTTGCTCTGTCGCCCAGGCTGGAGTGCAGTGGTGCAATCTTGGCTCACTACAACTTCTGCCTCCTGAGTGCAGGTGATTCTCCTGCCTCAGCCTCCTGAGTAGCTGGGATTATACGCACAAGCTACCACGCCTGGCTAATTTTTGTATTTTTAGTAGAGATGGGGTTTCATCATATTGGCGCAGCTGGTCTTGAACTCCTGACGTCATGACCCGCCTTGGCCTCCCAAAGTGCTGGGATTACAGATGTGAGCCACCATATCCAGCCTATTTATTTTCCTTTTAAGAGACATGGTCTCTTCATCCAAGCTGGAGTGCAGTGGTGCAATCACAGCTTACTGTAGCCTCAAACTCTTGGGCTCAAGGGATCCGCCCACCTCAGCCTCCCAAGTAGCTGGGACTACAGGTGCATACTGCCATGCCCAGCTAATTTTTAAATTTTTGGTAGAGAGCACATCTTGCTATGTTGCTCAGGTCAGTCTGTAACTCCTGGGCTCAAGCAATTCTCCCTCGTTGGCCTCCCAAATTCCTGGGATAAGAGAAGTGAGCCACTGAACAGGCTGAGAATATATTTCTTTAACTATAAGCTATATTCCCTTCTTCCTTCTCCCATTTTCAAGTTTCTGAAACAGAGATACAGCCTAATAAATGGTAATAGCTAACATTTATTCAGCTACTATATCCAGGCACTTTGCTATCTAATGGCAAATTTCATTTAATACTCAATTATATGATGCATCATTGTTCCCACCTAGCAGATGAGAAAACTGAGGCTTGGTGCAAGCGAGCTGCACAAAGTAATAGCTATTGAGTTGGCAGATTCAAAGGCAGGCAGCCAGGTTTGATTGAGTACTTATGTCCCTAATCACTACCAGCCACCCACCCTCTGACCCAAACAGAATAGCTGTTACTAAACCAAGAGTGAATTTGATAATCAAGAATATATAAAATATGCAATGCCTTAATTATGCATAATCTTGGATCCAAAAAATTCCCAATTGAAAGATGTATCCTAAGGACATTATTAGGGACACAGACCCCAGGATTTTTACAGCAGCAGTAAATTTTTAAGTCTGCGTAATATTCCACCATATTGGATGTGCCATAAGTTAATTAACCAATTCATTCTTTGCTGGATATTTAGGTTGCTTCTAATTTTTTCTCTATTAACATAGAGAATATTCAGTCATGGAAAAATGCTCATAACGTATTCAACTTAAAAACTATAAAACAGTATGCAGAATATGATCACAATTATGTTTTTTTTAAATCCCCTAGAAAAAGGAGAATAAAGATGTACATCAAAATCGTAACAGTGTTTATTTCTGAGTAGAAGGATTATTGTGGGTTTTGTATTTTCACATGTTCATGTTTTCTATAAAGTATTAAAATAATTAAATAGGTAAACCAAGAAAAGTGGTACTGACCTACAGAATTGTCTTCCGAGTTTGATTTATGAAGAGGGTTCCTAGAAAAGAAAAACAAATCAGATTACCAGGGAGCCTTGCTTTCATGGGAGAACTGAAAATCCTCCTAACTAGTTTGACCCGGCATCAATACTACTTAATACAGCCAGGGAAACTGTTACAGGCTATTTACCACTGGCTTTTTCTACCCGTCTGCTGACTTCCTAGAAATAGACTCATGTGCCATTTGCCGACATTTATTAAAGACTCACTCGAAGGTGAGACCTGTAACATTAAATGAAGAAGACAGACTTCACTAGATCGTGGAAGTGCCTTTCATTCTGCGAACTATTAATACAGTGAAGTTACTGCCATTGGGAAGTCTCTTGTGGAAGAGGAAAAGAGAAAGCAAATAATAATGAAAACATAAACTCAGCACCACAAATGCCACTTGGGCCTGCAGATAAGCACAGTGGTTGGCTCTAGGAAAATGAAGGGGGCAGGGAGGCGGGTGAGAGACCCACAACAGGATATTGAGTGCCCTTAATAGAGGGGGTGGCCAGTACATAGTTCCTCCAGTTTGTTGCTGCCAGTTGGCAAGTGCAATGTCTATCCTGCTGAATCTTCCAATGTTCAAAGAGAAGCCAGAAATCTGCATTTTGTTTTTGTTTTTGTTTTTGAGACAGAGTCTTGCTCTATTGCCCAGGCTGGAGTACAGTGGCATGATCTCAGCTCATTGCAACCTCCGCCTCCTTGGGTTCAAGTGATTCTCCTGTCTCAGCCTCCCAAGTAGCTGAGATTATAGGTATGCACCATCACGCCTGGCTAATTTTTATATTTTTAGTAGAGATGGGGTTTCACCATGTTGACCAGACTGGTCTGGAACTCCTGACCTCATGCAATCCTCCTGCCTCGGCCCCCCAAAGTGCTGGGATTACAGGTGTGAGCCATTGTGCCCGGCCAGAAATCTGTATTTTTATATGAGAGCTCTAACATTTTTAAGTGATGGCAAATAAACCAATATTTTAAAAAATGTGTCCAAATCAATCAATACATGTCTGGGCATCAAATTTGGACCCCCCTCCCCCCCGCCACCCCAACACCTTTGGCTGCCAGTTTGTGAAGGCAGATACAGACTAACCCAAATAATCTGAAAAGTGTACACAGCCCAAAACCAGTTCATTAAACATTTCTCCAGAAAAAAACTTAAGATAAACAAAATTTAAAGAAAGAAAGCGGGAAAACCAAAGAAAGTTAAAACTGGTTGTATCAAAAAGGGAACGAGGGGGGCGGATCACTTGAGGTCAGGAGTTTGAGACCAGACTGGACAACATGGCAAAGCCCCATGTCTACTAAAAATACAAAAATTAGCTAGGCTTGGTGGCACAGGTTCATAATCCCAGCTACTTGGGAAGCTGAGGCAGGAGAATTGCTCGAATCTGGGAGGCAGAGGTTGAAGTGAGCCAAGATCGCGCCACTGCACTCCAGACTGGGAGACAGAGTGAAACTGTGTCTCTCAAAAAAAAAAAAAAAAAAGGGGGGGGAACAGTAGAGGGTGGAACAAAATCTTTCATTAGGTGTGTCCAAATCCCAGAAGGAAAATACAGTATCCTTGGGCTTGCAGCCAAGGGAAACCAGAAAGAAGGCACCTGCATCAGAACAGACTCAGACACTTGGGGGATTTAAACCTGAATCTTCAGTACAAGTTCACCGCCAGGAAGGAAGATGGAAGAGGTGATTTTTGCATCTGAAGGTTTGGGAAGATAAGAAAGTGGGAGGCCAGGTATGAGTCACACTGAAAACATTAGAGGAAAGGCTGAGACAGTAGGAGAGCAGACTGGGCAACATAGTGAGACATCATCTCTTAAAAAAAATTTTTTTTTTTTTAAGTTTAACTGGGCATAGTGACATGCACCTAGAGTTCTAGTTCTAGCTACTCAGGAGGCTGCAGCAGGAGGACTACTTGAGCCCAGGAGTTCGAGGTTGTAGTCAGCTATGATCATACCACTGACCTCCAAACTGGGTGACTGAAATGAGACTGTCTCATTCAGAGGAAGAAGAATTGAACATCCTAATCACCTAAAGTGATTTTCTGCCTACCTTTTGGATAAAAGGACCTTGAGAATCTAAGGTGACCAGAGAGAGGGGAGGGAGGCTTTTTCATGCAGAGCCGCCTTTAATAAGCCACCATCCTTTGGTGTAGCTGCACTGGTGTGGGCTGACCACTGGGTGCCATTTCTGAGTGGCAGGCCCATGCCCAGCAAGCACCACCATTCTCCACATGTGAGTGCAGAGAACTGTTGGTGACCAGCACAAAAACCTGAAAGCTTTCTATTGTAAACTAAGGGAGAATCAGAGCTAAGAACAGAATCAGGGGAGAAACCGCTGCAAAGGACAAGAGCTAGATTTGAATTCTAGTTATTTCCCCTTATTCCTGAGCTGTGAATACAGAACACGTAAGGAAAATCTCATCACCAAATTGTGCCAAAACATGGCTAGGACCTACTCTCCTTCCTCCTATCCACACAAAAATGAAAATACCTGTATTTACCTGCAAGGCTTTTAGGAGGTAGCCATTTCAAAATTTAAATCATTCAGCCAAAATGTACTGAACAACAGCACAAGTAAGGTAAGCACAGGAAGAAAGGGGACCCACAGGTGAGGGATGGAGGAAGACAGGAACAAAAAAGCTGGGGGAGGGGAGAAGGAGAAGAATGAGGAAGAGAAGCAGCAAATGTAACGTGCTCAGGGCCATGGGAGAAGTGGGAGCAAAATAAGAACAAGTTAGTTGGCTGGGACTGAGGCAAGAAATCCTTCAGAAAGAAAAAAGGGTTTCTGCTCAGTTTAGATTCTTAATTTTTTAAAAAAATCTTACTGTGCTGTACTTTGCATTTCAAGTCATGGGACTCAGCTGCCCACCTAACTTCAGTGGGCCGGGGTCTGCAGCTGGTTAAACATGTTTTCTGTAAGGGGCCACCAGAGGCACAGGGAGCCCCATATGTATTTTTGTCCTCACCCTAAGGACTAGAGATGTCCTTTGTTTTTGGACACAGAGTCTCCCTCTATTGCCCAGGCTAGAGTGTAGTGGTTCGATCTCGGCTCACTGCAACCTCCGCCTCCCAAGTTCAAGCGATTCTCCTGACTCACCCTCCTGGGACTACAGGTATGTGTCACTACACCTGGCTAATTTTTGTATTTTTAATAGAGATGGGGTTTCACCATGTTGGCAAGGCTGGACTTGAACTCCTGGCCTCAGGTGATCTGCCTGCCTTGGCCTCCCAAAGTGCTGGGATTACAGGCATGAGCCACCATGCCTGGCCGGGACTAGAGAAGTCTTGATCTAATTGCTATGGACCAAATATCACTACCTCAGGATACAACTGATGATGTAATAAGCGAAAACATAAATTGTGAAATTTTACTTTCCCTGAAAGTCATCAAAATACTTCAAAAAGTACACTGCAGAAAAATGTATGCTCCCACTGCTACACCATTATCCCAAAATGTAATTGCATTTTCCTCTCTGAAATGATGACTGACAATATTTTCATTATTTTTAATCTACTGTCTTTAAACTATCACACACTTTGATACAATTTTATCCTCTGGTTTGGACTTGGCCCAGGCAGTGCTTGAATTTCCCCAGGGTGCCAGCAGATGGCACTGTAGTTTCTTTATTCACCTTGCTGTGGTGAGTGGGATTTTGTTTTTAAAATTTCACAAGTTCACCACCTAGATGCTGGCCAAAGAATAACAAGCCCATGTTTCATAAGAGCGAGGCTCCCCAACTCATCAAATTTGCAAAGGAGGAAAATGACACCGTACAAATTTGGATGCAGTGACTTTCTCCCTGCAAACAGAAGTTGGCATAGAAGCAATGCAAAATGCCATCTCCTTTCTCCCTGAGACTGATTATTAAAATTCATCCAGCAGGAGCAAAAATCAATGATACAACCCAAGTCCAAATGTGGATGGCAGCAGGTGGAAGGGGCCATTTACTGATCTCCTGGTGGAAGAAATAATGCTCAGGCGTCAGCTCCAAAGAGGCCTCCCGGTAGTACCTCCTTCCTCCAGCCAGATGCCCCAGGCCTGAGGACAGTGGGTGCTGGAGGTGGATCTGCTCTTTGGACTCATCTTTTTCATTGTCAGTGGGCAAAAAGGATGAGAACTTCAGCATGAATTTTGATGACCAGGGAGCAATAATTAATATTCTGCTGTGCTTTAAAAATCCATTTAAACATAATTATCATCAAGTATTGGATTTAACATCTCAGAACTGAACCTTAGCAAAAATACTTGTTCATCAGTAACTCCTACTATTAAGACCCCAAACCTGCTTAAGTGTCAACATTTTTCCTCAAGATCCCTAGACTGCTTTAGCTGTTCCTGAAGGCAAAATTCACTTAAGAAAATTCCTACACTAAGGAATTTATCAATTCCATTAAAAATTAATAATTTAAGAGACAGTATTCTCAGAACTGAACTAGTTTCTTTCCTCCTACCTCTGTCTTTAACAAATTCTTTGCTAAATTGCTTTGTTATTCATTTTCACTCATTCTTTCATTCAGTATTTATTTATTCACCTCTCAGTAGGAGTCATGCATCCTCTGAGGTCCTGAGAACATAGCAATAAACAAGACAGATTCAAGGAGGGTGACTGCAGAGTCAAGGAGTGAGGAGAAATTGAGGTGATGGGACAGAAAAGGTTTATCTGAGCAGAAACCTAAATAATGAAATAACATTCACTTCCCCAGATGGGGAAAGCTGGGCAGGGGAACAGCAGGGGAGGGAACAAGAGGTCCCCTTTGGACATGCTAAGTGTGCGGTGCTTATTAAACATCCCTGTGGAGACAGTAAAGAAACAGTTGGAAATGCGCGTCTAGAGCTGCAGATAAGAATTTGTAAGTGACTCGCATACTCTAAGCTCTGAGCCTGGCTGAACACTCTGAAGACTGAGCTCTGGGCCAACCTGATTTTTAGGGGTCAGAAAGAGAAGGTGAGGCCCAGCAATGAGACTTAGGACGAACAGCCAGTGGGAGAAGGAAAAGCAGGCAGAATGTTC